CTCCCCATTAGAGGGGAAAAAAAGAAAAAGAAAAAGAAAAAGAAAAAGAAAAAAGGTTACTTTCATTATAAGTGGGACCAGGAATGTAAAAGTTCAATTACCAGAATGCATTTGCTTTGTACATTTTAAACCTGCTGTAGCTAGTATAACGGGCACATGCAGTTCGGTGTAATTGCTGCTTTCCAGCTTGGCCTAATTGATGCTCTGATTTGCAGTCACCTACCTTTACACGAGCCTATGTTTCATTACATTTTACCCTTGCTCCCGAAATCCTAAAATCCCCATGGGAAGAAATAGATTACAGCAACACAGAGCTTGTGTGTGTGAACTGACAATTCTTTCTCCCCTATACTTTTCTTCATCTACATGTGAACAATGAAAACACAGTGGGCTGACTAAGGGATGTATTTGTTACACTCAAATGCTCCTTATTTAGGCAGGCATAACTCTTCTTGAACTCAGCAGGAGTTTTACTTAAACTCTGAATGAAAACTGCACTGGGATAAAATCAGCTCAGAGATATTTTAATAACCTAATTGGGATGTTTATGTTACAAAACTGTGTTATTCAGTCTCTAGTCATAACTAGAAAGAAAGTTACTTGCTGAAGAATGTGTTGGTATTTTCCATGGAGAATGATTTAAATAAAACCTTTTGAAATATGGAAATCTGCTTTAGCTTTAAATAAGCATTTCAATCATAATTTTTAAAGAAAAAAAAACACCTAATGTCTCCTGCAGCTTTGATTTCAAACACGTCACATTCTTCATTAAAGCAATCATTGTTAAAACAGAGGGACATAAAGCAACATAGGATTTATTCCTTCATTAAACTGATGATCCGTATATGAAGCCAATTAACATTATGAGTCTGGTGAACATCAAGTGTAAAGAGGTTACAGAAAATTAAAAGCAGTCACCTTGGTCTTTAGATAAAGAAAGAACACTTTTACATTATAAATTATAAGAGTGTCCAAGCGGGACAAATCGGCAAATTTGGTTAATTGGAAAATACATTTTACTGCACATGAATTAGGGTAAAATAACCTTTTAGCTGCTAGCTTTTTTTGTGGTCAGGTATTGAGAATCATGGGAAAGGAAGTGTTTGGACATGGAAAGACAAGAGAGCCATTTCATCAAACTTGAGCCATTCAGACTTTCTTGAGTGTTACGAATGATCCCCTCAAAGCTGAGAGCTCCGAAGGAAAACGTCCATTCAGTTCCTGCGTATCTCAGCCCAGTGCTAGGTTTTACTGTCACGGGAGGAAATTGAGAACAGATGTGTTTGTGTGAGCAGCACACGAGCAGTTTTACTTTAAGACAGGCACAATCACCAAAACATCCATCCAGAATTATACCGGGCTTCTCCTTGCAGACCTGTTACCTAATACTGACACTGGCAATGACGACAGTGATGATAAGTGCGAAAGCATGGGACAGACTTTAACAACTTTGCAAAGAAAAGCTTTTCTGCCTGAAATACAGTAGCTCACCTCTGTGTTATTTCATGCTTCGGATTGCTTTTAATGCTGCCCCTTGGTAGCTAGGAGCGAGGAGCTACCAGAGGAACGCTGCCCACGACTCGAAGCGATTTCTGGTTATTTTCGGGGGTCCCAGCATGGCAGGAAAGCCTCTATAAAGGGGGGCACGGAGAGAGGCAGCGACGGCGCTGACAGCGCTCCTGCCCGCGGAGAAGGGGCTCTCCTCGTGCTACACCCCGGCGGGCCGGGCTGAGCCGTGCCGAACCGTGCCGGGCCGGACAATGCCGGGCAGGACAATGCTGGGCCGGACAATGCCGGGCCGTGCCATGCCGTGCATGTGCCGGACAGTGCCGTGCCGAGCCGAGCCGAGCCGGGCGCGGAGCTCTCCCGGGTGCTGAACCGCGCCGCAGCCGCCGCCTCCGGGCTCCGGCCGCCGGCGAACGGCAGAGCCCAGCCTCCGAAGCGGCAACTTTTAATTATCGTCAACCCCGCGCCTCGTGCATTAAAATTAAAGAGGCACCGAGGTGGCGAGAGGTGGGGGATTTCATATTGCTTGGTTATCTCCTTGTTTTGCAGCTGCTGCTCCTTGGGAGAAAGTTGAGCCGACCGACTCCCGGTCCTCCTGCTTCTATTTAAAAAGCAGCACTTGGAGCACTTCCCCGGGCTCCATTTCCCCCTCGCTGCCTCCCGTAATGCGCTGAACTTGCAGGCTTCAAACTGCGGGAGAAAGTGAGTCTTGGAGCCAAAAGAGCAATGCAGCCCCCTGACTAGAGCAAGGCCTAAGAGTGCCATAATGAAGTTATTATTATTTTATTAGGGGTTCTTATGATAAAACACTCACTTTCACTCTCTCCACGACGTCAGAGAAAGGAAAAGGCTTGTCTGTCTCTGTGCAAAGGGATCCTGCGGTACTGGCCCTGCATGGATATTAAAGGCTGGGATGCAGAGACTGGCAGGGGAGATCCAGGCGGTACCTCTGGGTTATGTTCTTCTTTTTAAGGTTAATTGACCTAAAGCATGTGCTGCTATTTTAAGGAGTGTGGTCGGATTCAGAACATTGGTCTTGCGTGGTGCTGCTGTAAAAGCCGGCTCGATTCGTATCAGACTTTGCAGTTCAGAGACTTGCCTGGATGGTAAGTCAATAATATTTGTTGTCAAACAGAGATTTCCCTAAAAGCCCTTATGTATGTGTATACATATAAATATATATAAGCATGTATGAATGTAACTTTCTAAACCTATTACTGTTATGCTAAAATTGTAGGTGAATGGGTAAGATAAGATCAGATCTGTTTGGCTCTCTGGATTTGCCTTGTTTTGCTAAAATAATTCTTTACAAGACTGAATCGTAATTTCAGCTTGGCTATACATTAGGGAGATCTGTCTATGCCTAGTGTGACAGGCAGATAGAGCAGGTGATATTTCTAGGCTTATTAGTGTTTATTTAATGAGATCATATATGCTGAATAACTTTCCAAAGACATCGTCTCTTTAAAATCTCTATCTATTTCTGCACCTGTATCGTCTGTATCCATCTCCTTTGCTCTGGTATGAACGTGCTACATCTTTAAACTCCCATCAGATCTAAGAGAGCCTGTGTAGATTTGCTCGCCCTTCCTGCACAGAACATTACAATGTTTATAAAATATTAAATTTGTGTAGTCTGCCGGAGAAGCAATTGTTCCAAAATAAAATCAGCAGTCTAGACGAAACATAGACACCAGAACTTATCAACAGTTGTCTGACTTACATCTTCTGATGCATCTTGAGTGGGTCATAATACCAACTTTATTTTCAGTGGTGCATAAATTAATTACACGCATTTAATAACCAAAATATCATTATATTCCCCCTTTAATATCATAAAGGCTTTACGCCAGGGAAGCACTTAATGTGCAGGGGGCCATAACAGGCTATTATCCTTGTGTAATGCTATTACAGAACCAATTATGCGCCATTATACTTGCTTTTTTTGCAGTTTATGTGATTTGATCCAATCCCGCGTCCCTGACTTGAAAATTTCATCTGGGTACTTTAAAGTCTAATTTTCACCCGGGCTGAGGCAAGGGCCATCTCTCTCCGCTGAGCCTATGTCTCGGATGCATTTTAAAAGTAATTGCAAAGGGTCCCGCCGCATATCATTTGCAGACGGGAAGCGAGCATAAATCCAGAGACCCCTCGCTGTGAACAAAATCAAACTTTGCTGCCGTACGATCGCTTGGAAAGGCAAGGCGTGTGCAGAGCGGCCCCCCAAAACCCATCCAGCGGCAATTAGCCGCCGCTTTGTCAGCGCCGGGGTCCAGGCAGGGCTGGCACAGCTCGGCACGGCTCGGCACGGAGCAGAACAGCACGGCACTGCACGGAGCGCTGCATCCCCCTCCCCGGCCCCGCAGCCCCGGGGCACCCCGGATTTGGGGGGGCGCCGGGGGCCGCCGAGCCCCGGAGCGCGAACGCTCGGAAAAGAATGGGATTTTGTTGCTGCTCCTCGCATTCCTGGTGTTTGCTGAGAAATGACGGTTTTTTTTTTTTTTTCTTTTCATCTTTTTTTTTTTTCTTTTTTTTTTTTTTTTCTCCTCTACACACCACGTGGGCCATTTGTAGGGCCCAATAGACCTATCCAAGTTACTCACTGTAGACAGCGCTGGAAATAATCAGATTAAGGCCAATTATGCGTGAGATTATAAAGGCAAGTGCTGAGAGGCAGAGCATGCTGTAGACAGATATAAAGACATCTGGCCACTTCCAGAACTCCACAGAGCCCTTCTGTCTCTGCAGCCAACAACTCACAGCGCCTTATTCCAGTGCAAAATACCCCCAAATCTTACTGGTGATTTTTACTTCTGTTCGGTTTAGGTATGGATTACTATTTTTATTTGCCTTCTGGATTTTCTTATATGACTGCATAGAAATTTGAATAGTTTTTGTTGTTGCTGAAGACATTGGTTTCCAACCCGAACGCAGCTCCAGTGTGTTGGATGCTTTTAAAAGAAGACAGCTTTTAGGTTTTATTGCTGTTTCATTTAGGCAAAATAGTTTAGATTTTTAAAAAGCAATTCATTCTTAGCTGTAAGCTTTTTATTATTATTATTTTATGTAATTATTTGCTCTGAAAGGAAATACTAGATAGATAGATAGATAAATAGATAGATGTGTAGATAGAAGAATGGGAGATAGATGATCAGCTGTCTGGAGGGGAAAAGAAAAAAGGAAAAAGAAAAGAGGAAAAGAAAAAATAAAAAGAAGCAACAAACTTTTACTGGTTCTGGTCACTCTGCACCTACCATGGAGTTTTCTGCCTTTGGCTTTTGCAGCGCGCTGCACGCAACGTTAGGCACGACTTTCTCTGCCTCCTTTGGGACAGACTCTGGGCTCATCAGGGAGTTTCTCGGGCTGCTTTCTGCTGGCTCCTCACCTGTTCTTTTCTCTCCCTGTCACCAGGTCTGCAGGAGACCCCTCGGTGCTGTCTGGCAGGGAAGCCCCTCGCAGCGCTGGGCAGCGGGCGGCAGCCCGGCCGTGGGGCCATGTTCTACTTCCACTGCCCCCCGCAGCTGGAGGGTGAGTGTGGCGGGGGGATGGGGGTCCAAATCGCGGGGGTGCAGGGGCTGGGGGCAAGGGATGCTCAGCACTGGCCT